GACAAAAAAGAATAAATGCAAAATAAAAACTTTGGCTTTATCTGAAGCTTGTGACTTGCACAACAGTTTTCATGGCAACGAACGCTTCTTCTTTGTGTGTGAAAGTTGTTTATAAAGTGTGATATGCTGAATATAAACAAAGGTTATTGCACAACTCTGGAATAATTGATTATGAATGGTCAGTCACTTAATTCAGTAGGCAAATATTTCTGTGAAATTAACCCTGGATGCTAGAATTGAATGTTGCCTTAAATGATTTCTTTCTCCTAATTTAATGTCAGTGTATACACAAATTAAAACATTTTATAATTAAAAGTTAATATATATTAACTAGAAGTCACAAAAAGCAACATTATTCAATAATCCATTATCCAATAATAATATATTCTGTAGAAGTAGTGTTCATTGGTTAAACAACCAATGTGTTGCTTAATGTTAAGATTTACAATATTATTGTAAAGTGTTACCCATAATTAGAGCTTTTTAGAATTGTAAGAGATAAATATTATCATATATGTTTGGCACAATAATTTATGTAGCAAAACACATCACTTAGCCTCGTTCTCCCTCTCTTTTTCGTAGAATTGTTTTCACTTTGTGACAGACATTGAAGGACAAGGTGTGGTGAAGTTGCCCACAGCACGAGGAGATGATGCCTGGAAGGTCTACTTTGATGAGGTTGCTCAGGGTATTGTAGACGAGTTTGCCATGCGCTACGGAATAGAATCCATCTATCAGGCCATGACGTAAGCCCTGGAGCATTTTGTTTGTATTCTGACAGTTATAAGTCCTTTGCTGTTGACAGGATTGTGGTATTGAAGGTGGAAGAGAGCGCTGTACATTCACTCCCCCCACCTACAATCCCTGCCGGTACCGAGACTCGAACCCGCGATCTTTGGGTTACAAGTCTGACTCTCTAACCATTTGGGTTCAGTTGTACACCTTTCCAAACAGAATATTAATTAACAGTTTAATTCTAAATAATTTAAATTATTAAATAAATACTAACATAATAATTCAATAGTGGGACTTGTTTTGGTGAGAAGCACTGAATTACAATTGAAGGACTGCATAGCTGTTGTAGAAATACATTCTCAGTTTCTTACTGGATGTCTGTCTGTCCACCTGTAGGCATTTTGCATGTCTGTCCTATAAATACATGCTGCCTGGTGTCCCTGCGGTAATGAGCACACTCCTGGCCAACGTCAACGCATTCTACGCTCATCCCACCTCAGTCACCAATGTCTCCGCCTGTGACCGCTTCACTGCCTCCAACTTTGGGGTAATGCTAACTCAGCATCGCACACATCCAATATGGCCTGACCACTGTAAGGACAGTTTAGGGTTTGATTATTCCCTGGGTGCATCGACAGTAAAGATTCTCAAAACAATGACAAAAAATAGCAATGTAGCGTTACATTTTCTTTGTCACTGAATGAAAATGTACCTTCTCGTGTGGTGCCAATAGCCTTGTGAACAGCACACTGACATATAGCGCCATTGTGCACTCATGGACCGTTCCCAATCCCATCCCCCTTTCTCTCTCTCCCACTTCTCTTCCTGTCTAGCTACTGTCCTTTCATTATAAAGGCAAAAATGCCAAAAATAAATCTAAAAAAAAAAAAAAGTTCCATCTTATTATAAAAGCTACGGTATTTTGAATAAAACTGAGCTGTTGTCAAAACGTACAGTACCATTCAAAGTTTTTTTTTAAATAAAATAATATATGTTGTCATAAAAGATTTATATTTGAAATAATTATTAAAATAAATTATTTTCACCACACATGAATAATAATAAGAAATGTGTCTTGAGAACCAAATCAGCATATTAGAATTATTTCTGAGGGATCATGTGACACTGAAGACTGGAGTAGTGGCTGCTGAAACCACAGGAATAAATTATATTAATAATAATATATTAAAATAGACATATAGATTAATATTAAATAAATATAAAATGTATACTAAAACATTTATTTTAAATAGTAATATTTTCCACAATATTACTGTTTTAATATATTTCTAAAATCCATATAAAATATAATAAAAACTTAAACATTTGCTTAGTGTGGATTTCTAATTTATTATTATTATTATTTTTTTTTTTTAGATATTATCATTTGTATCTTTATTTGACTTCTATTACCTGTACAGCACTTTGGTCAACCCTGGGTTGTTTTTAAATGTGCTTTATAAATAATGAATGAATGAATTAATGAATAATACAATTTTAAATACATTTTAAAATCGTATAAACCTCAAACCTTTGAACAGTAGTCTGAACTACTGAGTAGTTGGATGATACCGATGCATAGTGTACCAATATAGTCTGTAGAAAGAGTCACTGAAAAATCCCCACAGCTAATGCACAGACTAATCATCTGTCTTGAACATGCAAACACAGAAAAGCAATGCAATCATTGAAAAGTCTTAGTGCTATTGTACTAAATGTCAGTGCTTTTGGAATGTAGCTCAGCCAAATTCAAAGACCAGAAATACCTGTTGTATAAAATATAATGTCACATTTGATCACAAGAGTGATCGTGAGTTTGATTGTTATAATCAGAGTCACATAAAACCTTTGATACCAAACCCACTGAGGCTCTCATACGACACAGCTGAAGATGCTGTCATGGCAGCCTCTGATTCTATCTAAGGATAAATACAGCTGCTTGGATTTGTGCACAGCACAAACGCTCCCATCCCCTCCCTTTCTTGTCCTGGACCCTTCTGCTGTATCACTTTTGCTCATACAAGGATTTTTGAAAAGATACAACATAGTGAATAACTGAGACCTTGTCAGTGGCCCTGACCCTTTGATTCCCTTTCAGGTTTTCTCATTGCCATGAGACGGATTTATCCAAAAGCCTGTCTCTGGTGTGTTTTTACAGGATGTTTCTGTTCATGTGTGTATGTGTGTCCACGCTCTGCATCCTTGGCTCAAGGTCTAGATTCCATTCAAAAGGGAGTTTGGTATCAGAGAAACACTCTTGTGGGGCTTTAAAAATTTTTGCTCTGACTCTGTAACTAAATCATACTTTACCTTTCCAAATACAGAAAGCAACAGCCAATCCTTTTTGCTTGTTTGTTTAACTTTATTCACCACTGATTCATTTTTCTCTCTGTTAATGCAGAAAGATCGGTTTGTTAGACTGCTGGATCAGCTCCATAACTCTCTCCGTATTGACCTGTCAACATACAGAGTAAGTATTCATCATGTTCATTAACTTACCTTAATCTATAAGCACAGTTGAGGATGGTGTGGTGTAAAACTAATTACAGCTTAATTGGAACATGACATACAATAAAAAAATATTTTGTTCACACATGTTATTTACCTTCATTTTATCCTTGGTTAAATTTTTTTGGTTTAAATATTTCCCACGCTCTTCATTAAAACTGTTGTCTCCTTGGTAAACTTTTTAAATTGTAAATGTATTTATTTATTTATTTATAAACTGATAGATCTGTAGTCATTAATAAGTCATTAATCTTTCAATCTTTTTTCATTATTCCATTCCATTCTCCAAAATGCTTCTCACCCTGCTGGACGCGACACCTGTGCCTCCAATATCACAGTTCCCGTTTACGTCATTCAATTCGTTTATCTTTGAGCACACATTCATGGTTTGTTTCATTGCCCACTCCGTTGGTTTACCCTATAAAGTAGGGCTGCACGATTAATCAAATGCGATTGTCATGCGTATCTTGTCAGTAAAGCCGGTTCTGTGATTAGTAGTAAATCTCTAGCATGTGCTTTCAGATGGAGCGGCATTTACTACACAGAGCCGTAGTTCACTGACAAGCTACTCAAAGTCGCAGACGATTTAATCGCGCAATTATGAAATCGAAGAAATTGTTCTGCGATTATGAAAGATGTTTGCGTAGCTTGTCAGTGAACTACGGCTCTGTGTAGTAAATGCTGCTCCATCTGAAAGCACATGAAAATACCACATTTAATAACATGTTTTTACTCCAAACTCACTTCATAACATCAGTCGAGTGTTTGAAATAAATCCTTCTGTGAGATGATGTGGCTTCTTACACAGAATAAGGCATGCAACATATTTCATAGTATTCAAGCAGTGATAAAGGCTATGTCGATTAGCATTGCATTATTATATACTTTATTATAATAAAATATATAATAAGAAAAACTTGGATAAAAAGTGGAGTCATGGACAAGAGTAAAACAATACAATTTATGCATTAACAGAATTTTTGCAAAAAATTATTGGAGGCATAATAAAATAATTGTAAGTTTTAATGTGACTGTTATGTAACCAAGTTGAAAAATCAGATGGTTTGAATAAAAAATCATACCTGTTTGTAAAATGTGAATGCTCATGCACAAATCATGATTCGCTAATCAGTATGAACTTTCAATTTTTCAAAATTTAACATAACATTTAGGACAAAATCAATCCACACACACACAAAAAATCATTGTGCTCTTAGAATCATGGAATGTCAATTATATACAGTATATTCATTATAAAAATATACATTTCAGAACAATATGCAGTCTGAGATGCAGGTGATCACAGTCAGGTCTATATATATATGTTTTTCAATTGGTTTTGAGAGTGGCTAGCATGAATACATTTTATAATGATATATAGACTTGATCAGTAAACTTTGTGCATATGTTTGTTATTTCTCCTGAAGTATCTATTTTACAAATGTCATATTGTGCTTCTCACTCAAGCTTCCCGTGATCTTAATTCTGTCCCTTTGATCTCCAGAATAATTTCCCAGCCAGCAGTAAACCACGTCTAGCAGATCTCAAATCCACAGTGGATTTGCTGACTAGCATTACATTCTTCAGACTGAAGGTAAGATAACGTACCTTTAAATCAGATCAAGCAATGGCATGCTGTAGTGCCCTTCTTGCTGTTTTATACTGTGTTTGGGAGATGCAGGGATGTGGGTCTTATTTGTAATACATATATTGAGTGACAGATCCTATAGAGATGAGTAATTCAATTGTGTTTCATACAGTCTTGAGTAAACGCTCCATCATTTCTGTCTGCCTGAGTTCATACAGTAGAAAAGGATAATAGATGGTTTGAGATGAAGATTGATTTCTTTGTGCTGTAAGAGAGAGGCTTTTGTGCGGGCTTTCATAACTGAGATTAGTCACTATTGATTTGTTAGAGGGTGTTACTTTGTTTTTATATAGCCATATTTAGGGGTGTAAATCGGATGGTTCGTCACGATACGATATCGATTCTCATACCCAGCGATACGATATTTGCAGATACCTCAAAAAATTCTACGATACGATTCGATTCGATACAGGAGTATATCGATCGATATTATGATATTATATACCTATTTTAAACAACCGTCTACATTTTTATTAACTCACAAATGCAACCAAAATATATAACATGAACATTTATCTGAAATTTTCACATCCTGTACCTCAATTGGGACATTCACAACAAAAAAATAGGCCTACACTTTTTTTTTTTTTATAAAATTTTCAGGTACGCTACAGAAATGTAATAATCAAACATAAAATAAGTGCATAGTCTTCAGTGTATAAATTAAATATAGATTAATCATTTTTGATGTTACAAAGGTTATTTAGTCAGGAGCAGTGAGCACTTGTATTTTTCTTTGACAGCATTAGATTTATTATTAGTTTGCTTTCACTTTAAGAATGAAAGCACGGATTTAACTACTGATACACATGCCTTTTCTTTCTCAACTGTTTACGTTAAGACATATGGCTAACCGACTGTGTTTACTAGGATATTCGCCAAATGTGCGTTTTGAAGTAATTTTGTCTGTATTTATTCATCCATGCACAAAAAAGCAGAAGAGAGCTAGTAGTATTCACGCGGTGTAGACGCGGCTGTCTGTGTGCGTGCGCTTCAGATGTGTGCACAGAAAACTTCTCACACAGTGCTCGACTGTTCCGCCAACAATCCCGAGCGTCTTTTATGCTCACCTTGTGCCTTCGGGCAGTCCTTATATCGAGTCCTGATTCGTGAGTTTGAACAAGAATGCACGCGTTGTCGGTAATGCTTAGACGGACATTATGTGAAAATGTGGACAGTGCCAAAATAAAGGTGCCTATTTATACTACAGATATCGATATTTTACGCGTGGCGCATCGATCCATATCGATGAATCGTTACACCCCTAGTCATATTCTTGTCTTCTCTGGCGCCCCCTGTGTCCAGGTTCTGGAACTGCAGTCTCCCCCTCGTGCCGCCCATGTGGTCAGGGACTGTGTGAAAGCATGCCTCAACTCCACATATGAATACATCTTTAACAACTGCCAAGAGCTGTACAACAGACAGTTCCAGCCGGCCGTGGAACCTGTGAGTAAACACATTCACGTCCTGCATAGGTGTTTGTTTGTATACACACAGATGGGGAATGCTTACACCATGTTTGGGTATCTCTGCTTCGATTATGTCATCATTAGAGGTTGAATTTCTCATGGGTAATACCAGCATTTCAACCTGGGACATCAGCCTAAAATTAGTAATATTTTATAGAATTTATCAGTTACCATAGAGACCACGTTTGTTCATAAAGGTCAGGCCTATGAATCATCAGTTTAATTCGGAGTTTCTTCGATAGACTTTTACTATCTATCTATCTATCTATCTATCTATCTATCTATCTATCTATCTATCTATCTATCTATCTATCTATCTATTAGTGCTGGGCGGTATGATCAAAAATTTATATCACGGTATTTTTCAAAATTTGACCGATTTCACGGTACATGACGGTATTTTTTTTTCATGCATGACCGGGTGTTAACCATATTTTGTACTGATTGAGAGAGGAAATACTGCAGTATATTGACTTAGAATGCCCTATTTTACTGTCATGATGAGTGAATATTGTCAAAAAATACCACACTAAATAGTGACTAAACATGACCCCTTTAATGTTAACCAGGAGTCACTCTCATTTATAATCGCTGCATCGTCTGATAAAATCAACATGTATCTACTACACTAAAGAGCGGCTATGTGGTTGTTTTGGCTGTATTACTTTTTTGTCTCATGCAGCACACTGCCTGCGTCTGAGTAACAAACTAAAAAAAACAAAAAAGTGCATGTGATATTAACAGACGAACTACGCTCATATTTATAATTCCAAACAATCAGTAAGTGACAGGTGCTAGAAAACGCTGTTTTGTACTCATTTATTGACGAGTCTGAATGCGCTGCTTCTCTGCCGCTCACTGCACAGAACAGACGCCGAGAGAGGGGACACTTCTCCGGGAAAGTCAGACCTCGCGTTCGCTGGACAGCACTGGCGAAATCTTCCAACTGAACCATAGCTAAGGTTTATCCAAAAAAGTCGCTAGGTTTGTCAGTATGAATATTCTATGGGAAAAATCAGCTAAAAGGGTCTGAAAGTTGCTAAATCTAGTGCTAAAGTCGCGCTCGTATGTGTGAGACGCAGGGGGCGGTGGATATTTGTGGTGGTCAATGTGGATATTGTGAATGAGTTCTTCTGTGCCATCACGTTCTATTCTACAGCTTTAGTTTCTGAACTTTCACGCTTAGTAACACATACAGCTGTTCCCTCACCACAGTGCAACAGTGAAAAAGGACCCCTTTCAAACAGTGTTGGGTTCCGAACGTTGTTTAAGCGACATACACCGGTATTGCAGTATTTTAAAAATTCATATCATAACAAAAATAAACACCGGTATTCGGTATGAACCAGTATACCGCCCAGCACTACTATCTATCTATCTATATCATTTTTTCATTTAGTTTGTTTTATCTGTTCTATCTGTTTATTTCTATATCTGTCTGTTTTTTCTATATCTATTTGTTCTTTTGTCATTTCATCTGTTGCTCTGTCTGTCATTTTGTCTGAGATTTTGTTGTTCCTCCTTTTGTTTTGTTTGTTATTTTGTCATTTTATCTATCTGTTTCTATATCTATCTCTTTCTATATCTGTTTTTCTATATCTGTCTCTGTTTCTGTCTTTCGTTCTGTCATTTTATCTGTCGCTCTGTTATCTCTGTATGTCATTCTGTCTTAGTTTTGTCGTTTTATGTCATTTAATGTGATTTTATCTCTTTCTATGTCTGTCATTCTGTCTGTCGTTTTGTCATTCTGTTTGCCCTCTGTTATTTTATCTGTCAGTCTTTCTTTCTATATCATATCTGTCATTCTGTCATTATATCTGTCGTTCTTTGTTGTTTCATCTGTTGTTCTATCTACCTGTTTATCTTTATCTGTCTATCCATTTATCTATTTTTCTTTTGTTCTATCATTCTAATGGTGTTCTGCCATTTCATGCAATTATTCTATACCACAGAAAACACAAGAAAAGAAAGAGGGAGAAGAGGGTGAAGAAGAGGAAGACAAAAAGGATGAGAAAGAGGAGGAACTTGCTGCTGTAGAGGAACCAGGACCAAGCATACAGAATTTGGACTTCTGGCCCAAACTCATCACCTTAATAGTTTCCATCATAGAGGAGGACAGGAACTCCTACAGCTCAATCATCAATCAGTCAGTCACTGCACAGATGCACACACAATATTACACACAAGACATTGAGCTGAGCTGTTTAACCTGGTGTGTCCTGTGCAGGTTTCCTCAGGAGCTGAATGTGGGGAAGGTCAGTGCCGAGGTCATGTGGACACTCTTTGCTCAGGACATAAAGTATGCACTGGAAGGTATGAAGAAATATACATTTATATTTATGGGAAGTTTGTGTGTCCTTAAAGTATGTCTGTGTTCACTGCAAATTTATTTGAGATTGGTCCTAACATCATTCCATCTTGCCTTTTTATCTGTCTCTGTCTTCAGCTTCTAATCATATCGTCTACAAACATTGGAAGAATGGTAAAGGTCATAATGCTATAAGGCCTTTTGGAGTCATGAGAGTGAGAACTTGGGCATACATTTCTTGTTAAAGATGCAAGATAATTACACCACTCTGTTGTACGCCAAGTAATGTGTTCCCTCAAAGGAGCTATAATCTACTGTACATCCTTTAATAACAGCTTCTATAGCTTTGATACCAAGTGGAATGTTAGTACAGTTAGGATGATTAAGTACAATATCTGCCCTAATTCCTCCTCATTACATCACCATGATTGTGTGGGCCAAGTTTCTAAGTACTGAATAATAAATATGGCTGGTGTTTTGTTAATTTGCTCGTAGTTTTCATTTCAAAAGAACAAAGGAAATCCTCTTTGCTATGTTAAAACCCCTTTAAAGGTTCAAAGCCCTCTTTTTAGTCTTGAGTCCTCACTCTCTCTCATTGCTACAGCAGAGTTAGAGAATAGAACTCCCTGGTTTCCTTTTAGATCTTCCAAGTAGGAGTAAACTAGAGATAGACTCCTCATTAAAAAAAGTAATCTTTTTCTTTTGATGCCAGCATGCTTTTCTTTTGAAACCACCCCTTCCATTGCACACCTGCACTTTTTTCCATTCTTTCACAAGTATTCTTCATTTCTCCATTCTGTCCTGCCTTGTTTTCTTGATTTTAGCACCTGCCACATCCCATATTCGCAGACTTGATTTTTATGCTGGTAAGACATATGGTTAAGTGTCTGTAAGAGTTGATGTGTGCACATGTACACTATTGTTCAAAATACAATATTGTTTGCCGGTTGGTAAGATTTTTGGATGTTTTAGAAGAAAGTCTCACCAAGGCTGCATTTAATTGATCAAAAATAAAATGTAAAATAAAAATGTATTATTACAATTTAAAATAACTTTTCTATTTTTGTATATTTTAAAATTAATTTCTGTTATGTTAAAGCTGAATTTTAGCAGCCTTTTTATTTCTTTTTTTATGATCAATTTTTAGCAACATTTCTTTTTTTATTATTATTATCAATGTTAAAACAGTTGTGCTGCTTAATAATTTTGTGGAAACCATGATACATATTTACATTCTGAATGTAATTCTGAATATAAAATTTAAAAGGACAGGCATTTATTTTAAATAGATTGTTTTTATTTTCTATTTTATTTTAAGTCTTTACTGTCACTTTTGAACAATTTAACGCAACCTTTGCGGAGTATTAATTTATATATTTTTTTTAAATCACACTGTCTTCAAACTTTTGAATGGTAGTATATGTGTGTGAAATGCATTTCTTAAGGTCCTTGCACACTGAGTCAGAAATTTTTGTATGCGTTTTTCCGTTTTTTTTTTGTATTCGTCATCCTTTCCTATCAAAATGCTTGCTACGGATGCGAAAACGCAGAAAATCGAACCTGGTCCGAATTTTTTTATGACGGACGAAAGTTTCGGAGGCAGTGTGTAAACGTGATTGACACAAGGTGAGGTCGTATTTATTTTTCAACATGTGAAAATTTCGGACAAAAAATTCGGACTCAGTGTGCAGAGACATTTAGCATTAGCCTCCATGAGTGAGTACAGCTTGAAGACTTTCAGATGAAAAAGCAGTTCATTCCTAGTTTATAGCTCGTTGGAGAATACATATGTTGAAGCCGAAGGAGAGTAAATGTTTACTGGGTGAAATTCGTGACAAGGTAAAACGAAAGTAAATCTGTTTACTCATGGTTGTTGTTTCCCCAGAGCATGAAAAGCTGAGGTTTTGTAAAAGTGCGGACTACATGAATCTGCATTTCAAAGTCAAATGGCTCTTCAACGAATACGTCTGTGACCTGCCCGCCTTCTCCGACACCGTCCCAGAGTACCCATCGTGAGTCACACTGCTTCTAAAACTCTTTCAGAGCATCTTTGGCTAAACTTTTCTCTCTTTTCTTCCCAAAAGCTGCAGTTTGTTCTTCTTTTGAGTAGTTTTATGTTCTCACTGTCATCACCTACAGTCCCAAATCGATTAGGATGCCTCGTTGATGCTTTCCTCTGTTGTTTAAACGTTCTTGACCACTTGCTGCTTCGCTGCCCTCCTGCTTTATTCCTCCTCCTGTTTCTCTATATTTTGTTTTCATTTCCCATCTGTAGGTGGTTTCTGCCATTTGTTCTCCAGTGGCTGGCTGAGAATGAAGAAGTGTCGATGGAGTTTATGCATGGAGCCCTTGAGAGGGATAAAAGAGAGGGGGTATGGTTCAGAAACTGCTGTATAACCTTTCTGTGTGGTCTGCTCTCTTATATATGGCTTTCTACTGTTGGTCTACCAGGCTTTAAAACATTCCTTTTCAAATAAAATTGCTGCTTGCTGTCTACTACCTGTTAGGTGGATGGTTTTTCTTCAAATTAACTGACTTTTTCTTTTAGTTATGTAAAGGCCCAATTTAAATGGTTTTGAGAAATGCTTTCTAAAATGCCTTTCAACATTTATTTATGCTAATTTTCTAATGTCTTTGATGGATAAAAATTACAATATATTGTATAAAATACAATATATTTTTCAAAATTTGGGGGTTGGTAAAAAGTCTCTAATACTCTCCAAGGATGCATTTACAGTGGGGAAAAAAAGTATTTAGTCAGCCACCAATTGTGCAAGTTCTCCCACTTAAAAAGATGAGAGAGGCCTGTAATTTTCATCATAGGTATACCTCAACTATGAGAGACAAAATGAGAAAAAAAAATCCAGAAAATCACATTGTAGGATTTTTAAAGAATTTATTTGCAAATTATGGTGGAAAATAAGTATTTGGTCAATAACAAAATTTCATCTCAATACTTTGTTATATACACTTTGTTGGCAATGACAGAGGTCAAACATTTTCTGTAAGTCTTTTTACCGAGGAATTTATCAATTAATTCTTTAAAAATCCTACAATGTGATTTTCTGGATTTTTTTTCTCATTTTGTCTCTCATAGTTGAGGTATACCTATGATGAAAATTACAGGCCTCTCTCATCTTTTTAAGTGGGAGAACTTGCACAATTGGTGGCTGACTAAATACTTTTTTGCCCCACTGTATTTGATAAAATATATGGTGAAAATACTTATATTGTGAAATATTAAATTACAATTTAAAAGAACTTTTTCTTTTTAATATTTTTTATGGAAACCTTGAGGCATTTTTCAAGTTCAAAAGAACCAGCAGATCCTGAAATTAATAATTTTAATGTGTATTTTGTTAAAATATCTATTTTTATTAGTTTCCACCACACAAACCATTTTGCCACAATTTTGTCCCCCTGAAAATTATAGTGCTTATTTACTAATGAGTAAGCACTCATATATCAAGTCATATAAGTCAAGTCATATATCACTTTTGAACAATATTTTAGCATAATTTCTCATTTTGTCAAGTTATGCAGAAAGCTGTGAAAATGTTTTATTTCTGTATTTTTAAGATTCATAAAATGTTGTCGTAAAATGCATATCATTCTCATGACATTTGGACCTTGTAATGAAATAAATGAAATAAAAACATACAAAACACACAAGGCAAAAAGTTCCCATAGCTGAAGAAACGTCTCTCCTGTCTTTTCCACAGTTCCAGCAAACATCTGAGCATGCCCTGTTTTCATGTTCAGTCGTGGACATCTTCACTCAGCTCAACCAAAGCTTTGAGATCATCAAGAAATTAGACTGTCCTGATCCTGCAGTGGTTGCCCAGTACAACCGACAATTTGCCAAGGTGAAGATCAACAGACCTTAACCATACTATATACTACATTCAAAAGATGGTTCCAGAGAAGCTGGAAGATAGACAAGCAGAGACATAATAGATGGAAAATGGTGGCAAGAGAAATATAAGCTGCTGGCACACAGATTGTTTGTCTTTAAACCATCACCATCTGTTTCTTAGCTTGTGAGTCATATTTAACTTAGACGCCTGACGCAGAGACATCTTTGTTGAAGCCTACACAGGTTTTGTAGGAGCTGAGATGCGTTTACATTTTATTATATTTTAGTGAAGACTGTGACTAAATACTAAATGCAATTATCTGACATGTCCATAATAGGGGTATATTCTGATATTATTTTTTAATGGTAATCAGCATATTGAGGTCTATTTCAGGGAACAAAACAGCACTTAATGCATCTTCCCATGAAAATTCATTAGTTTTCAACAACAAAGTAAATTCCAGAAAATCTTTCGTTTCAGATTACCAACTCTGTACAAGGTGTAGTTCATTTACTCTACATACCGTTTAGGTGTAATAGTGTTCTTTCTTTTCCTTTTTCCCCCTTACCAGACTATCACCAAAGTGCTCCTGCAGTATTGTGCTATTCTAACCAAGGGTTTCTCCTCGTACTGCGAGAAAGAAAAGACAGTGAGTGTTAACAAACACTCAAACACTAACATTTTTGAACTTATTTGTTGTCTGCTATTGTACAGTAAGAATCCATGTAGGTCTGAGTTGTCTCACTATCTGTATTGTGCTGTTCGCTCTTTCCTGCCTCTCCTGCAGCCCTGTGTGTTGATGAACAACGTTCAACAGATGCGTGTGTTGTTGGAGAAGATGTTTGAATCTATGGGGGCAAAACAGGTGAGTGAAGCATGAAGTTATAACGGGTTTTTAAAGGCCTTTTTCGTAGACTTGCTACAGATGCAACACTATTACAAAAATGTTTTGTGGTGGTACTATGGTGAATTGACATATAACAGGGACGAAGCCACTTCAAATGTCCAGGAAACTATGCTTACCATGGTACTTTTTTTGTTTGTGCAACAAAAATGTGGTGCCTTATAAGGTCCACTATCGTTCAAAATTGTGGGTTTGTCAAGAATTATCATACATTTTTGAAAGTCTCTAATGCTGACAAAGACTGCAATTATTTGATCAAAAATACAGTAAAAACTTTAATATTGCTAAATAAATAATTAAAACTGTTTTCTGTTTTAATATATTTTAAAATATAATTTAGTCTCAAATAATTATTCTCAAAGCTGATTTTTCAGCAGCCTTTACTCCGTTAAAGTAAAATTAAAGTAAAAAAAAAATAAAATCTTGCAGACCATAAACTTTTGAATGGTGGTGTACTTCATTTTGCCAAAAATCTAAAACAGCATCACATATAACCTCAGAATGCACCGATTTACCCTGAATTTGTGTGCAATTTTTTTTATGCTGCTTAGAGTATTGAGTAGTTTAAGTCTGTGTAACTGGAGAAACTGAAGTGTATGGTTTTGGTTTGATGACGATGGGCATGCTGACATTTTGCGCATGATATACCAATGAACTGAATGTTTATTATCTGTCATGAGTGTAGATATGTGTGTGTGCGTAGTGAATGTTTATGGTTGCTGAGCTAACCATATGCATATTTTTGTGTATGTGTAGTATACTGTTGAGGAAGAGCGGGTAGGTGAAGCGATGTATTTGTGTGGATGAACCATCCCTAACCCTCTGTGGGATTTGTGTGCCTTAGTAGATGTTGTATTTAGACCCTTTCACTAGGTTGCAGTGCCCTTTTTGCACCACCTTACGCCACCCATATGATTTCAGCCGTCCATAGTGTTGTTCTCTTAGTATAAAATCCCTAAATCACTCTTAACGTTGATCTCTATTTTCACTCCCAGCTGGAGAATGAGGAGGAGCCTGAGGACGATGAGGAGGAGGTGTGTTGAGAGCGTCTATGGATAGGGTCCAAAATGAACTGCTAATTACCTGCCAATCATAAGTGAATTGAGAAAATTTAAATGTAGAAAATTATGGTCCATCCTTTTTTTCATTTAAAAAAAAAACAAAACATTCATGATTTTTATTTTGGTGCTTGGCCACATTTAATAATAATTTGGTCTTCTAAACTTCTAAATCATTTAAATATCTTCCAGTTAGACAAAGATGTGTGTTTGTGTATGCAAATGTAGTCTTGTTTATGAGTGTATGTGTTAAAAACTAGGAGTCACAAACACAAAATTCTGTTTGTTTTGGTCTCCTTCTGCTCAGGGCATCACTGATGATGAAGGCAATGAGGTCTGTACACTCAACACTGCGGTACTGAGAAATGTGTGAGGCCATGAATGCATATGCGTATGTGTGTGCGTGTTAGTGTGGGTGTTTTGCAAGATTTTGTGTAAATCAACAACTACCTAGCACCTTTTATTTCTTTTTTGTTCTTTGTTTCACTATTACTCATCTTGTCGTTCATTTTTCATTACCAGTCGGATGAATCAGATGCTAAGGTGAGAAACAGGCATACGTCTCACCTGATGTGCTTCTTTATGGAGCTGTTTATAAAACATATGAAATATTATAAATGGCTGTTCACACTGACAGAGATATGCAGTGACAAAGCGACCGGATGCAGTGCAGCAATTACCATACAGTCTATGCCTACTAAGTGACGTGACATGTGGCCAAGTATGGTGACCAATACTCGGAATTAGTGCTCTGCATTTACCCATCCAAAGTGCACACACACAGCAGTGAACACACACACACACACCGTGAACACACACCCGGAGCAGTACAGTACAGTACAGTGTCTTTTTAGCACTGAAATTTTCAACAGCGCAGATAGTTGCACTACCGCTAAAAGTTTTGGGGTCTTTGAGGTTTTTGTTTTAAGTTAATGTTTAGGTTTTTTAAGTTAAGTTTTTTTTATGTTTTAAAAAAGACTGTAATATTGTATAAAACATTTTTTTAATATGTAATGTAATACATATATATAAAAAAAAAAAAAAAAATTGTAACCATGTAACTAATTTTTTATCAGTTTAATACACCCTTTCAGAATAAACTTTATTCGATTCACAATTATTTTTTATTAATTTTCTTAACAAAATGAGATTTAAGACAAATTATAAATTAAATGTGTCCTTTTATTATTGCTTGGACAAAATGCTGCACATTTCTTTGTGAAATTGAAATATAACACTATAATAATATACTAATATAGCACTTGTAAATTATTGCTCTTTTGTTGGTTTTGATTGCTTCTATTGTCCTCATTTGTTAGTCGCTTTGGACAAAAGCGTCTGCTAAATTACAAAATTTTAATATAATGGAAATGTAAATAACAAAACTACATTGAAATTTTAAAACAAGCCCCAAATCAAATAAATAAGTAACACAAATAAAATAAATCTCTTCATATAAACAAAATAAGGCTTTGTGCTCTTTCTATTTAAAATTAGAGGCAACCACTGCATTTTAATCATGATCCAGACAAAGATGCTGCATACATGCATCATGAGCAGTTTTTAATCTAGATTGGATTGTATAATTTCGAAATTTGAAGCAAAAACAGAATGGTTTGACTTCAGTTTTGTGAAACTATACATAAAAATATCTGCTTCTGCACAGAGGACGAGCAGAATGAGACGCAGATTCACTCTCTGCCAGCAGGTGGTGCTTAAAACGTTTCCTTGGTTTCCGCTGTAAATATGCATTATACAGAGGCAAGATGAAAAGAAAAAATACCATCTAAACTGTTCTAAAGACAGTAAGTTCCCCTCAGACATGCATTCATATAAACTCCTACCCCTAAACGAATTGTGATTTGTTTAGCATCTCAACCGATTTGAATTGTCACATATTTGAATCGATTTTCAACCGGCTCGCGGTTAATCGTTACATCCCTACTCAGTGATATGCAGTATAGGCATCTGTCTGGTTTTCATTTACTCGTTTCACTCATGGTGTCTTGTTTTTGTGATATGCAAGTGAAGGTTGTGCTTCACGAACTAAAGAAAATACAGGCTTTGAGAATGGAGATGAGTAAATGATGACAATGTTTGTTTTTGGGTGAACTGTCTCTTTAAGACAAAAGTTGATTAGTAAAATCTGATAGAACAGATGGGGCTTTAGGTTGCAGTCACATTCTGTTATGCACATTAAAGCCTAATTGACCCATTAATTGCGACCAGATAATTTAATGTAGCGCTAAAGCTTTAAAAAGAATCAAAAGCTTTTACTTCTATAGCTGGGATTTGTACCTTAATTGATTCCTGTATCCAACCAAGAGCAGTGAATCATGAGTGCATGAGTGAGGAATGAAATATATAGGTTCTCTCTATTCATATAGTAAATATAGTAAGTCTTAAATGAAGGTTAAAAGATATTGATTAATTCCATACAAATGCTATATTTTTAATTGGAGGTGAGTATTGGAGTACTCTGTGTGATGCGTCCTGTGGAGTTTGTGTTCTAGACTCCAGCTGTGATGTTAAAGGAACACTCCACTGTTTTTGAAAATAGGCTCATTTTCCAACTCCCCTAGAGTTAAACAGTTGAGTTTTACCGTTTTCGAATCCATTCAGCCGATCTCCGGGTCTGGCGGTAGCACTTTTAGCTTAGCTTAGCATAGATCATTGAATCTGATTAGACCGTTAGCATCTCGCATCTCTCGTAATAATCAAGGAACTTTGCTGCCATACCATGGGTGCAGCAGGCGCAATGATATTACACAGCACCTGAAAATAGGCTTATTGGAAGTTACCTAGCTGGGGACTATTTTCAGGAGCTGCGTAATATCATTGTGCCTGCTGCACCCATGGTACAGCAGCAAAGTTCCTTGATTATTACGCCGGAATGAGAGTATAGTTCCTAGCCATATCGGCCTAGAAAATCGCAACTTTTAATTTTCCGTCACAATTTCAGTCCATTAATTAATGGCTTGTGACGTAAAAAGCTGCATGTTTGTAAGAAAAACATCCATCATTAAGGCATTTTAACATTAACATAATCCATAATAACATTTCCTCCAGTTATCACAAATCAGTTATCCTTTTATCAGCTGTTTGAAGACTCATTCTGACGGCACCCATTCACTGCAGAGGATCAATTGGTGAGCAAGTGATGTAATGTGATTTTTAACAGGTTGGTGTTTCAAATTGGTGGCACACTGGACAGTAATTTGAAAATGTATGTTATATTTTTATTTGTAGATTGACAACAAAGAAAAGGAGAATAAGGTTGGTTTTGTAAAGAAAAAAGTGAACCCATTTGACTTTAGTGGCTTATTGTGTGTTGTGAAACCCTTTTGGTTGTATACCTTTCATTAGTTTGTATCATGTGCTCCTGTGATTATGGTTTAGATTGTGGTTATCCTGTTGCAACATTTTTCAATCATGGACCATCTTTTATTCCCATAATTTCCTGTCCTTCCCTCAGTATTGTATGAAAAAGTGGTCAAATAATGATAATTAAATAAAAATTAGAATTGGGACGATGCTGTCACGTTTCAATCAAAAGGACTGAAATAAAACAGCAGCAGTTTTAGGCTTAGCAGGCACTCTTTTAGTGACTGCACCTACAGTGTTAGTGCTTTGCTGTGTGTATTGTGTTATTGTGTTCAGGCAAATTTATCAATGAATTCTGCATTTTTAAGATGACTCTATGATGACAAATATTCTGCTGTCCTTGAGTCAGGTGTTGCTAGGTGTTGCCGTCAGTGTTCATGGTAATGTTCTTTAGCAATGAACTTTTTGACTGGTATGTTGGTGTGTGTGTGGGGAGAAATAAATAAATGCATAGATAGTGATGAGTAGCATCACAATTAATACCCAGGGCAGTACTGTTTGGTTAAAAAAAAATCCTACAAGCAACTGATACTATAATGTTTATATGTTATATGAACATACACTAGCATTCAAAAGTTTGGAGTCAGTTTATTTTTATTTTTTAACTTTATATTCATCAAAGAATATTGGGGAAACAATTATCACTGTTTCCATAAATTATTAAGCAGCACAACTGTTTTCAAGACTTTTTGAAAACTGACTGAAAAAAATTCAGCTTTGCTGGAATAAGTTACATTTTATAATACATTAAAATAGAAATTATAGTTAATCTAGTTAATGGTTATTTTAAATTGTAATAATATATCACAATCTTACTGTTTTTACTGCATTTTTAATCAAATAAATGCAGCATTAGTAAACATAGGAAATATCTTTAAAATAATGTAAATTCTTACTGACACCAAACTTTTAAAAGGCAGTATTTAATACATCGACACATAAACAATTTTTTTATTTTTTTAATTTGCAGTACTGTTGGTGAATCTCAAGTTTTAAAGCAGTTGATTAAATCAGCCTGTTCTAACCAGGTGGAACAATACAATCTATCTCTTCCTGTCTTAACCTGCTGCGACTGCAATGAGTATTTTGACATTTAACATATTTTTGACATTTTGACATATTTAAACATTGTCACATCGCACAGCAGTTTTTGCATCCTGGTTGTCGTGGTTATAGGCCAATTTTTCAATCCACTCTGTCTAGCTGTTTTTAATGGTCAAACGCATCCTATGTGAATGGCCCCTTGAGTATTCGGCTTGAGTATTCGGCGTATTTGCATTTAGTAGCTCTTTAAACTTTTTCTCTGTTTGTTTTCATTCTTATTGTCTTTTTGTTCATTCTTTCTTTCTGCAGTCTGTTGCTAAGAAAGAAAAGGTGTGTGCATTTCCAGTATTTTCGGTAGTACTAAAACAGTTATTTTAAATTGTAATAATATTTCACAATATTACAATGCTATAACAACTAAAATAGCAAATGTTTGCATTTATTTCCCTTAATGTCTTGAGTAATGCATCATAATTATGTGCTCATTTTCATTCAGCCTATTCAGTCTTGTGTGTTATTTGTGTATTTCTATGTTTCTTCATTCATGTGTTTGTTTCCATGTTCTGGCATCGGGGAAAAGAAGGACAAAGAGAAGGAGGTTTGTGTGCACACGCACGCACGCAGCTCACATGCTCACACACACACACACACACACACACACACACACACACACTGTTTGTCTGTGGTAGTGTTGCCCCATAGTCTCTGGATCACTGTGTGATATCATTATTGATAAGAGTAAGAACTGAACTGAGTCCCCTTCTTCGGTGAGTTCTTGAGCATCAAATCAGCATATTAGAATCATTTCTGAAGGATCATGTGACAGTGAAGACTGGAGTAATGACTGCTGAAAATTCAGCTTTGTATTCACAGGAACAACTTACATTTTAAATTAAAATAGAAAACAGTTATTTTAAATTGTAATAATATTTCACAATATTACAATGCTATAACAACTAAAATAGCAAATGTTTGCATTTATTTCCCTTAATGTCTTGAGTAATGCATCATAATTATGTGCTCATTTTCATTCAGCCTATTCAGTCTTGTGTGTTATTTGTGTATTTCTATGTTTCTTCATTCATGTGTTTGTTTCCATGTTCTGGCATCAGGGGGAAAAGAAGGACAAAGAGAAGGAGGTTTGTGTGCACACGCACGCACGCAGCTCACACGCTCACACACACACACACACACACACACACACACACACACACACACACACACACACTGTTTGTCTGTGGTAGTGTTGCCCCATAGTCTCTGGATCAACAGGACTCTGTGTGATATTGAATGTAATTTTGTTTCTCTGTCTCAAGGATGAGAACATGAACACAGAGGTGGGTAATAAGCTGATGCACATCTGTGTGTGTGTGGTACTTTCTGAAACATGATAGAACAAGGTCTCATTAGTGTGAGGAGCAAGCGTGTGCATAAAATCTGCTGGGAAGGAGAGATGTGTGCTGTTTGGCTGTGATCCTGTCCCCAGGGCTCCGGTACCTCATTGTCAGAGTGTTGTTTTTAGGTGGAATAGGATTCTTGTGCCCTGATGTGACACAAAAACAATTACCCATAATTCAAAGCTTAAATAATGATGTGCCTTAGGCAAATATGATTTACTTGTTGTCAAGATATGAATTACTTGCTGTCAGTGAATAAATGATCATTGTTTTGGTAAACACAGTAACAGATGCTTATTAAACTTTTTTCTTCTATCTTGGGGTGTTTTTCTAGAGCATAAGTCTAGAACGCTCATTAGGACAATCCATGTGTTTTATGGGTAGTTTAAGGTAGTCATGTGTTGCCAGGCTTTTGACTGAAGTCTGGTCAACTTTGCTACTTATTTTGGAAGTTCGGATCATTTTAATGACTTGAATCTTTTTCAGCAAAATAAACGAATCCTTTTTCAAGTAATTTTGTGTAGTTAATTTAAAATGTAAAATTTTCAATAGCCAAAATCCACACAAACCATGCACATATGCAATCTTTAATCATATTCTGAATTAGAAAATCATTATAATGCAACCAAAAGATAAATACTTCTGCGTCTTTTGGTATGAGTCTTTAATTCGTCATGTGACAGACACATAGACACTGTACAGGAAACAAAAAGCATTCATTCACCAAACTACGTATTTGTATCACAGTCATATGTTAAGGACTGAAAAGATGAACATGCACGGTTACAACAAAATGAACAAATTATTCATTATTTCAGAGTCATATAAAAATCATTCAAAATGAAAAAAATCATTCTTGACCCATTACTTACCAAAACCACCCACTTAATGTTATACTGAAATTTCAGCTTTGCCATCACAGGAATAAGTTACATTCAAAAATATTTCACAATATTACTGTTTTACTGTATTTTTGATCAAATTAATGCATCCTTGGTGAGCATAAGAGACTTTCAAAAACCTCTTTACAGAATCTTACTGTAGCGTCTGGACCAATCAAACACACAATTTTTCATTTGATTTAACAAATCAGTTATTCATTAGATTAACAAATCGTCACAGTCCCCTCACCCAATAAACTGGGTGCCAGGATGTCTGCAACGACACCAGGCCCCCCTGGTCCCCATGGTAACTAATGCTGATATCA